TTCACTCCTTCAAGGGAAGTGTGGGGCTCTGATATGCTTGATAATAAGGGGCAGCCAAGTGACTCCATGCCCGGTGAATCAAGATGTGAGTTGCTTGGCAATGAACGAGTTGATGAGTCAGTCTTGCATTCAACCTCACTCCTTCATGGCAGTGTGGTGCTCTGTAATGCTTGATAATGCGGGGCAGCCAAGTGACTCCATGCCCGGTGATTCGGGATGAGTGTTGCTTAGCAGTGAACGATGAGTCATCCTTGCGTTCAACCTCACTCCTTCAAGGGAAGTGTGGGGCTCTGATATGCTTGATAATGCGGGGCAGCCAAGTGACTCCATGCCCGGTGATTCGGGATGTGTGTTGCTTGGCAGTGAACGATGAGTCATTCTTGCGTTCAACCCCACTCCTTCAAGGGAAGTGTGGGGATCTGATATGCTTGATAATGTGAGGCAGCCAAGTGACTCCATGCCCGGTGACTCGGCATGTGTGTTGCTTGGCAGTGAACGAGTCGATGAGTCAGTCTTGTATTCAACATCACTCCTTCAAGGGAAGTGTGGGGCTCTGATATGCTTGATAAGGTGGGGAATCTTTGTAACTCCATACCTTGTGATTCGAGATGTGTGTTACTTTGGCAGTGAACGAGGAGTCATTCTTGCTTTCAACCTCAATCCTTCAAGGAAAGTGTGGGGCTCTGATATGCTTGATAATGTGGGGCAACCAATTAACTCGATGCCCTGTGATTCGGGATGTGTGTTGTTTGGCACTGAACGAGTCGTTGAGTCAGTCTTGCATTCAACCTCACTCTGTCACGGGAAGTGTGGAGCTCTGATATGCTTGATAATGTGGGGAAGTCTTGTAACTCCATACCTTGTGATTCGAGATGTGTGTTACTTGGCAGTGAACGATGAGTCATTCTTGCTTTCAACCTTACTCCTTCAAGGGAAGTGTGGGGCAACCAATTAACTCGATGCCCGGTGATTCGGGATGTGTCTTGTTTGGCACTGAACGAGTCGTTGAGTCAGTCTTGCATTCAACCTCACTCTTTCACGGGAAGTGTGGAGCTCTGATATGCTTGATAATGTGGGGAAGTCTTGTAACTCCATACCTGTTGATTGGGATGTGTGTTGCTTGGCAGTGAACGATGAGTCATTCTTGCGTTCATCCTCACTCCTTCAAGGGAAGTGTGGGGCTCTGATATGCTTGATAATGCGGCGCAGCCAAGTGATTCCATGCCCGGCGATTCGGGATGTGTTTTGCTTGACAGTGAACGATGAGTCATTCTTGCTTTCAACCTCACTCCTTCAAGGGAATTGTGGGGCTCTGATATGCTTGATAATGTGGGGCAGCCAAGTGACTCCAAGCCCGTTGAATCAAGATGTGTGTTGCTTGGCAATGAACGAGTTGATGAGTCAGTCTTGCATTCAACCTCACTCCTTCACGGCAGTGTGGTGCTCTGTAATGCTTGATAATGCGAGGCAGGCAAGTGACTCCATGCCCGGTGATTTGGGATGTGTGTTGCTTGGAAGTGAACGAGTCGATGAGTCAGTCTTGTATTCAACCTCACTCCTTCAAGTGAAGTGTGGGGCTCTGATATGCTTGATAATGTGGGGAATCCTTGTAACTGCATACCTGGTGATTCGGGATGTATGTTGCTTGGCAGTGAACGATGAGTCATTATTGCGTTCAACCTCACTCCTTCAAGAGAAGTGTGGGGCTCTGATATGCTTGATAATACGGGGTAGCCAAGTGACTCCATGCCCGGTAAATCAAGATGTGAGTTGCTTGGCAATGAACGAGCTGATGAGTCAATATTGCATTCACCCTCACTCCTTCACGGCAGTGTGGTGCTCTGTACTGCTTGATAATGCGGGGAAGTCTTGTAACTCCATACCTGTGCATTCGGGATGTGTGTTGCTTGGCAGTGAACGATGAGTCATTCAACCTCACTCCTTCAAGGGAAGTGTGGGGCTCTGATATGCTTGATAATCTGGGGCAGTCAAGTGACTCCAAGCCCGGTGAATCAAGATGTGTGTTGCTTGGCAATGAACGAGTTGATGAGTCAGTCTTGCATTCAACCTCACTCCTTCACGGCAGTGTGGTGCTCTGTAATGCTTGATAATGCGGGGCAGCCAAGTAACTCCATGCCTGGTGATTCGGGATGTGTGTTGCTTGGCAGTGAATGATGAATCATGCCCGGTGATTCATGCCCGGTGATTCGAGATGTGTGTTGTTTGGCGCGTAACGAGTCGTTGAGTCAGTCTTGCATTCAACCTCACTCTGTCACGGGAAGTGTGGAGCTCTGATATGCTTGATAATGTGGGGAATCCTTGTAACTCCATACCTTGTGATTCGGGATGTGTGTTGCTTGGCAGTGAACGATGAGTCATTCTTGCGTTCAACCTCACTCCTTCAAGGGAAGTGTGGGGCTCTGATATGCTTGATAATACGAGGCAGCCAAGTGACTCCATGCCCGGTGAATCAAGATGTGAGTTGCTTGGCAATGAACGATGAGTCAATTTTGCATTCAACCTCACTCCTTCACGGCAGTGTGGTGCTCTGTAATGCTTGATAATGCGGCGCAGCCAAGTGACTCCATGCCCGGTGATTCGGGATGTGTGTTGCTTGGCAGTGAACGATGAGTCATTCTTGCGTTCAACCCCACTCCTTCAAGGGACGTGTGGGGATCTGATATGCTTGATAATGTGGGGCAGCCAATTAACTCGATGCCCGGTGATTCGGGATGTGTGTTGTTTGGCACTGAGTGAGTCGTTGAGTCAGTCTTGCATTCAACCTCACTCTTTCACGGGAAGTGTGGAGCTCTGATATGCTTGATAATGTGGGGAAGTCTTGTAACTCCATACCTGGTGATTCCAGATGTGTATTGCTTGGCAGTGAACGATGAGTCATTCTTGCGTTCAACCTCACTCCTTCAAGGGAAGTGTGGAGCTCTGATATGCTTGATAATGCGGCGCCGCCCAGTGACTCCATGCCCGGCGATTCAGGATGTGTGTTGCTTGGCAGTGAACGATGAGTCATTCTTGCGTTCAACCTCACTCCTTCAAGGGAAGTGTGGGGCTCTGATATGCTTGATAATGTTGGGCAGCCAAGTGACTACATGCCCGGCGATTCAGGATTTGTGTTGCTTGGCAGTGAACGAGTCGATGAGTCGGTCTTGCATTCAACCTCACTCATTCACGGGAAGTGTGGGGCTTTGATATGCTTGATGATGTGGAGAAGTCTTGTAACTCCATACCTGGTTTATCGGGATGTGTGTTGCTTTCCAGTGAACGATGAGTCATTCTTGCATTCAACCTCGCTCCTTCAAGGGAAGTGTGGGGCTCTGATATGCTTGATAATGCGGGGCAGCCGAGTGACTCCATGCCCGGTGATTCGGGATTTGTGTTGCTTGGCAGTGAACGAGTCGATGAGTCAGTCTTGCATTCAACATCAGCCGAAATGATCCCATGCCCGTTGATTTGGCGTAAGTGTTGTTTGGCATTGACCGAGTCGACGAGTCAATCTTGTATTCAACCACACGCCTTCAGGGTAATTGTTTGGCGCTGATGTGCTTTATAATTTGGGCAGCCGAATTGTTTCCATGCCCGGCTGTTCCGGCAAGTGATTTGGTCAGGTGTTCCTTAGTTGAGGGAGGCATGAAGCAGTCTTGTTTTTAACATTGCACCGTCAAACGGGGTGGAGTTACTTGAAAAACTTTATGATGTGAATGTTTGGATAGACTTGTGACTCCGCATAGGGTGATTCGGGCAGGTGTTGCTTGGTGATGAACAATGAAAAAGTTTTGTAATAACCTCACTGCTACAAGGGATGTGTGGTGACTTGAAATGCTTGAGAGCGTGAGGGGTTTGGAGCAGCCGTGTGACTCCAAGGTGTTGCTTGACAATAAGAGATGGATATTGGATTTTCACTGAACATCCCTTCCTCAGGTTGGCTGCGGTATGCTGGACAGTTTGCTATGTTGGATCCTCCTCACCACACAGCCACCCCCGTAAGATGTATATGTTTCTAAGGCCTCCAAAATGTCTGCGTGTGTGTGTGTGCGCGTGTTTTACTTGTACAAGCAGTTTCTTTCCTGGTGACCAAGACGTTCTACTCTTTCTTTTGTGCAACCACCCCTCTCCTGTAGCAATGTCCTATGTTGCTCATGGATATAATATGGTATCCTGGTATCACGCACACACACACACCACACGCACACACACACACGCACACACACACACGCACACACAGTAGGAGACGTTCACCAGGGGCGTCACCCGTGAGGGGCACAGGGGGCAAGGTCACCCCCTAAAAAATACGACCTTGGTTTTTTTGCGAACTCCTGGTTATGATGAAAAGTGTACTGCATGCTGCGGCGGCGTGCTGGGTGTTTGTTTGAAACAGAAGAAATCAATAATTCAGTGTGGTCGCAAGTAAGTTAGCCAGGTCACCAGTCTCACCACACTTGAAGAGTCTTTGGAGCTCTTTCCTCTCAAAATGTCGTCTTCTCGAAAAAGGAAAGCGTCTGGCCAGCTCACTATCAGCGAACTTTTTCGGAGGAATGCGAACCCAGAAGTGCGTCGAGGCGACGAAGTCATTCCTGTTGCAGCTGGGCCAGGGGAATCGGACGATGAGGGACCTGACGAAGAACCGGCACGCAGCAATGCTGTTATGCTTCGGTATCGATTGCCCTTCTTTACACTGTCACCCATTTATGATTATGCACTAGCGCTGCAGTCGACCCCATGAACTGCTCAAGCTATTTTTTGGCAAGACACCCTGAAGTCGAAGAATAGTGTCATGCTCAATTTTGTTGTGCAAAATTCCTGTTCACCCCCTGTGAAGGGGTCCGGTGACGCCCCTGTTCACCCTGGTGCGAACTGTGGGTTTCTATCTCTCTCTCTATCTCTCTCTCTCTCACTCTCTCTCTCTGTCTCTCTATCTATCAATCTCTCTCTCTCACTCTCTCTCTCTGTCTCTCGCTCACACTCACTAACTCTCTCTGCTGCAGCATCATCAATGTCTGCTGCAGCGTCATCGGGGTCTGCTGCAGCATCATCGAGGTCTGCTACAGCGTCATCGAGGTCTGCTACAGCGTCATCGAGGTCTGCTACAGCGTCATGGAGGTCTGCTACAGCGTCATCGAGGTCTACTACAGCGTCATCGAGGTCTGCTACAGCGTCATGGAGGTCTGCTACAGCGTCATCGATGTCTGCTACAGCGTCATGGAGGTCTGCTACAGCGTCATTGAGGTCCGCTACAGCGTCTTCTGGGTCTGCTACATCATCATCTAGGTCTGTTGCAGCGTCATCGGGTCTGCTGCAGCGTCGTCGGAGATGCCGTCCACGCATGATGCTGGCTTCCGTTGCTCGTCGGTCGTTGAAACTGGTAAGTTTGCTTTCACAATGTTTGAAATGCTTACAGGGCACTGGTAGTTTGTCACAACCGTTTATGTACATGTACATCAAATATCTGGCGACAATTTGTCTAAATAGGCAGGCCACTTAGGGTGCAGCAATTCGAGTTTGGAGTCTGATCCTATGTCTGCCTCTGTATGTCAGTCTCTCTGTCAGTCTCTCTCTGTTTCTCTCTGTCTCTCTCTGTCTCTCTCTCTCTCTCTCTCTCTCTCTCTCTCTGTCTCTCTCTCTCTCTGTGTCTCTCTCTCTCTCTGTCTCTCTCACTCTGTCTCTCTCACTCTGTCTCTCTCTCTCTCTCTGTCTCTCTCTCTCTCTCTCCCTGCCTCTCTCTCTCTCTCTCTCTCTCTCTCTCTCTCTCTCTCTCTCTCTCTCTCTCTCTCTCTCTCTCTCTCTCTCTCTATCTCTCTCTCTCTCTCTCTCTCTCACACCCTCTCTCTCTCTCAAACACTGGTCGGAAGATCCACTTTTCCCTAGGTACTGTATGTGGGGCTCCGTTTATTGAGGTGCGTTGAAATTTATTCTCTTTATCTTATTATTTCTTGTCTGTAATTTCCCCATATGAGTTCCTATCAGTTGTTGTGAACACCTTGAGTGGAGAGTGCTTGCTCGAGCGTTGAACCGGGTTCTTAATCCACCATACCCAGTTCGCAAGGCTGGGGGGGGGGGGTTGTGAGCAGGCTTTCATTTCATCTTTTCTTATTATTTCTTATTATTTCTGCTTTTCATCTCTTTACAAAAATTCTGCGCATAAAATCTAGACTTGACAACCTGCTTGTTAAATCATGCACCTGCTTTCAGGCGTAAAAACCCTGTTGTAGAGGTCTCAGTCCTCATTTGTTAGACTTACCTGTCTTTATAAATGTAACTTACTCTCTCTCTGTCTGTCTGCCTCTCTCTGTCTCTCTGTGTCTCTCTCTGTCTCTCTGTCTCTCTCTGTCTCTCTCTGTCTCTCTCTGTCTCTCTCTGTCTCTCTCTCTGTCTCTCTCTCTGTCTGTCTGTCTCTCTCTCTCTCTCTCTCTCTCTCTCTCTCTCTCTCTCTTTCTTTCTCTTTCTCTTTCTCTTTCTCTCTCTCTCTCTCTCTCTCTCTCTCTCTCTCTCTCTCTCTCTCTCTCTCTCTCTCTCTCTCTCTCTCTCTCTCTCTCTCTGTCTCTCTCTCTCTTTCTCTTTCTCTTTCTCTCTCTCTCTCTCTCTCTCTCTCTCTCTCTCTCTCTCTCTCTCTCTCTCATAAAATCTAGACTGGCAACCTGCTTGTTAAATCATGCACCTGCTTTCAGGCGTAAAAACCCTGTTGTAGAGGTCTCAGTCCTCATTTGTTAGACTTACCTGTCTTTATAAATGTAACTTACTCTCTCTCTCTCTCTCTCTCTCTCTCTCTCTCTCTCTCTATCTCTCTCTCTCTCTCTCTCTCTCTCTCTCTCTCTCTCTCTTTTGTAATGAAACACACTTGAAAGGAGAAACATACTGCTGTGGACATTGAAATCTGATGGAATAACCGGGGCTGCAGCTGTGCTCACTGTTTTACGCCATACATGCACTGCTTCAGTTCACGTACACACTGTAAAAATGGACCAGCAGTGCTCGCAGCTGCAAGGTCAGCGCCCCGGGGCCACTTGGCTTCTCAATGAATTCCAAAGTCCACAACAGTAGTCTACAGCAAAAAAAAGAAATGTGTATGAGCAGAGCTGTGAAGCAAAAAAAACGTTTAAAAAAAAAGAGAAACAGTGACATGCACCCCCCCCCCCCCCCACACACACACGGACAGTATGTATAGGCATATAACGAACGGTCTTTTCCTGTTAGCTCTGTTTGTCCAATACATGAGATAAAACGTCTTTCTTGTTGTTTTTCCTTCTCCATGTAGCTGCTTCCAGCATGGTAAACGACAGTACCATGGCCTTTTCAGATTTTCATTGTACCTATTTGTAGTACCCCCCGGGATCAGTATTTTCCACTTGAAATAACATCCACCCCAATGCCTCATTCTTAGCATTCTTTTATTCGCTTCCATGTAATTGGGCTTATTGCCCGTTTGGTATTGCGAATTCAAATAAAAAACAACAACAAAGCAAAGACATCACTGATGGCATCAAGGAAAAAAACAAAGACAAGAAGACTAGGGCTGAAACGATCGTGATATTTCCTTTGTGGCTTAGCTGATATCATAAAGATTGGCTTATCGGATTAGCGACATATTTTCACTCCATATGGCACACTTGACACAATGCAGTGCTGCCAAACCGTCCGATTTTACGGACATTGTCCGATTTTTGAAGGCTCTTCCGAAAACCGGTCCGAAAAAGGAAACGTCCGAAAAGCAGCCAAAAATGTCAGGGATCAGTACTTTCTTATGCAGAAATCCTGTATTTTCACTTTTCAGCGCAACTGAAGGCACGAATCACAGTACTTGTACCGTAAAAAGGCTAGCGCTAAGCGCATGGCCGGCTATGGAAGTGCAAAGTAATATCCCTGGATGGCATGTAGACTGTACAGTGTCACGTGACCACACTCATGCATTACAAAATTCATGACAACTTTGGGGGTGCCATATCGGCTACCATGGCAACGGAGCGAATTCTCATGGTATTTTGGGCGTTATTTTGAATTCTCTGCAAAAAATGCTGAGGAGAAAAATTCGCACCATATGGCCAGCCTTGGCGGTAAACATGGTGAAGGGTGTCCGATTTTGGGCGAAAATTATTTGGCAGCACTGACAATGGCACGGGATCAGTTTTTTTGAAATCGGATTAATAATTTTTTAGTGTATTCCGTGGATATGAATTCTACACGTGATAGCTCGAGTGAGTGCTCTGTACATGTACCGTAAAGTCCGCTGCAAATGCCCACTTCGCAGCAAACGCCCAATCCGGCGGGTCCATACTATTTTCGTCTTTTCAGGTCAATATATATATGTCAAGTGAGAATTCAAGTCGGCAGGAAAACCGTGAGCTCCCATATAGGGAGCAACACACTCTTCCTCAGGTCAATCTAGTTGTAGAAAGCTGGCATGGAGGTCGAATACGTACGAGAACGACTGTAATGCCTACAAACTGCCTATGTCTTACCAGGAGGCTCTGCAAAAGCGATTGTCATTCTCTTGCTGCAAAGAAAACTTCGTCGAGATTTCCTTTCATTCGAAAAAAAAGAGTTGTCTTTGGTATTAGTTCGTTCTCCATATGGTTATGCCATAGAATCCATCCGGTTTGCAAATCACGAAATTTCTGCAGTGCCATGTCGCGCTTCTGATGAAGCGTCAGTCAACAACTTGACCGTTCGCAGTATTGCAGTTGTAAGTTGAACACTTTACAGGGGGGGGGGGGTGTCACAGAAGCTACTCCTATAAAGTGTTAACTTGTTGAAAACTCTGAAGTGGTCGAGAAAAGCCTTTGCGCGCTGCGTGATTTGGAAATGGCTTGAAACACCGTCAGAGGTGTATTTGGTTCCTGCAAATACTCTGTTTTTCGCAACTTTGTTTTTCGGCAGAATTTGCGAAATAAAACAACCAACATCATCGCTACTAGCTAGCTCGAAGCTAGTACCGAACGGGATTTTGAACCAGGAAAGTGGACATAGTTTACCGTAGCAAAACGCTCTTCGCTCTACGGTGTCAGAAGTCCTTTCGTACGGTAGGGGTGACCGTGCATGGGGTCAGTGTGGACACGCCAGCAGATCTTGCTAGAATGGGGTGGGCATTTGCAGCGGATTTTACGGTATACATCTGGGTGTAGGGCATAGTATACTAGTACTTAGGTTTTGTAGAGGGAGAGATCAATAAAACATTCCTGCAACTCTTGATTTTCATTAGCTAGCACTAGCCAACCGTGTTATGAGACTGGCGATCGCCCGTACGTGAATCTCTGAGTTACAGCAATACTGTTTCATTGTTCCTCTTTCGAACTGCAATGACCAACTGCCGCTACCCAGTCGAGATCCAGGTCGGCGAATTTCTGAGTCCCGTGCGATGAGACAAACGTGGGCGACTGGTGGAGTTGCCAAGTAAAACCAAATTCGACAAGTAATTTTTAGTTGCAGCGCTTGTCCGATGCTGCAGAAGTCGAAGTTCTCTGGTCCAATTCAGTAGCCGCGCCTGCAGGGTGACCGAGTTGGAATATCGATGAGTTTTCCAACTCGAGGTGAGCGAAGAGATAGCCCATCCTGCTCTGTCAGTAGAACGCGTTTTTTTCTTCGCTCGAACAGAAGTATGTTTCTCCATACCACACTCAAAAATTCATCAACAATCCAGTCCTCGGTTCGCTGGAGAACACCTTGGCAAAGGTGAGTGTTCGAGAAACAGTGATTCCACTACAATGCAGTTGTAACAAGGGAAAAACTACAATTTTCAAAAGGCGAGTCGATGATATTCATTCCCATTAAAAAAAACGTTTTTCTTGCTGCTACGGTTACCTGGTCACCACCTGTGCTGCATACACTGCATGGCACGCGTGAACTGGAGTCTGTTGCAGTGTTTGACCCGCACTGCAAGCTCCACGCCACGCAGTTCAGTGTATCAGGTGTACCGGCATACGTCACAATGCTTTTCGATAGGACAATGAATGCATGCACGGTAGAAATATTACCTCTCGCCGTCAAAAGTGTACTTTTTTCAAGCCGATAGCAACTAAAATACTCGTTCGATATCTTTTCCAACGAGTAATTACCGAGTAATCGGTATAATCGTTTCAGCCAAAGAAGACCCAGCCGAAAAGGTGTGAAACACTTCTTGTCTACTCGTATTTTTTTGAAATGCACTCTCTGTCCGGGACAGCGATTGGGAGGCCACAAGAACATGCTGAATTCACAGGGTGTATGTGTTCATTTTCAACTTTCTCTGCAGACGTGCATCAAACTAGACAGTGGACAAGTGCAACACACTATCGCTATTGCAACCACCCACTGTCGGCAAGTGCAACACACTATTGCTATTGCAACCACTCACTGTGATGCAATGGGCGTCAGCATCCGGCTGAGGATCGGACACAGAGCAGAGTTGCGGACACGCAAGCCCCAGCACATGCGTACTGCGTGGAAGAGACAAGCTGCACTTTGATTGCCCTTCACGGAGCGTTCGAAGAGTAAGTCGGATAATAGCTTTGACATACTCTTGTAGTCTTGTAGGAAACATTCAGTTATTCCATGCCCCGTCAAGTGTAGTTGTGATACTTCCAATATTGTCAATAGTCAGTGTGTTTACTGCTGTTGCGCTCGGTGAAATTCAACATGAAATGCATATTTGGTCCCCAGTACCGATGCGGCCCTCGACCATGTTGACGCCATGTTAAGCGGCGTGATGCACAATATCACTTCTGCGACGTGAGGCACCCAGTACCGATGCGGCCCTCGACCATATTGACGCCATGTTAAGCGCGATGCACAATATCACTTCTGCGACGTGATGAGCGACGAGCCATGTGATCAATGTTCACACGAAGGAACACGTTATCTTATCTTTTCACTCCAAATACAATTACACCTGAAAGAGCAGCCTAGCTAGCTACACAACGCGAACCAAGGAACTACTAAAACCGAAAACATTCCATGTCGGTACACAACCGAAGACAAAAGGCAAAGATGAAGTAATTTATGCAGCACTGTCAGCTGGCAAAACAGCAGAGGCGTAGCCACCGCACACGCGCTGTTATACGGCACGAAAGCTAGCCATGATACTATGCAATACAAATGTATGACCATGCACAGCAACAAGCAACAACACACAGCTAAGAAGTATATGCATGTAATACATGAACGGCCAGTTGGAAATAGTTATGACGCCACTTTGTAGATCGCCCTCATGAATAGAAAACCACAAGAGAGACAGGGAAGACTACAGCCTACAGTGTAGCTCAGGCCTTGATACATGAATCACTATTGCAGTATTGGCACAAGACAGAGAAAGGACTGCTCCAGCTATCAATAATAAAAGGAACCATTACTTCTAGTCTTAGTGATGCCATGCCAGAGAAATATTACGTACTACCGTCTGAACATCCTCCCCCTCGCAATATGCACCCAGATGTTGCATGATGCCTATCCTTACAACTACCAGTACCAAGCTAAGAGAAAAGTGAATCGAAAGGGCAAGTTCAGTGGTAGGAAGCTACAAAAAAAACAAAAACAATGCATGAATCATTAATGGGGGTCGTCACTGAGCAGTACCTCCATTCTGGCATGTAGGGAGAGCCGTCTAACATTCCAGTGGACAGACTCGAGTGATGGATCTCTTCAGAGTCTTCCCGCCCACTTGCATGGCCACCACACGCACATGTCCGTCCGGACCAGGGAAAACTTCCGTGACTCTGCCGAGCGGCCAACGCCCACGCGGAGAGCTTGAATCCATCACCAGGACAACGTCGTCAACGGCCAGATCGCGTCGCTGGTGTCGCCACTTCATTCGCTGATTCAACCGTGGGACAAACTCTTTCAGCCAGCGATGCCAGAAATGGTCGATGAGCATTTGAACATATCTCCAACGTCTCTGCAGTTGACACCCCTTCTCGTCCGTTGTTGCAATAACCAGCTGGCCCTCGGCCATGCCATGAAGGAAATGGTTCGGAGTTAGCGGCCCTGGATCCTTCGGACTAGCCGATTGGTAGGTGATGGGCCTGGAGTTGACGAGGGACTCTGCTCCGCTGAGAGCGGTGACCAACTCCTCGTCCGTCACAGATGCGTCTCCAAGGATGGCATGTAGAGCTCGTTTTGGCGACTCGAATCATTGCCTCGTGAACTCCCCCGAAATGAGGAGCTAATGGCGGGTTGAAACTCCATTTCACGCGTCTGCAGGCCATGGCTTTCCGGACGGTGGTATTGTTCAGTTGGCCAACAAGCTCACGTAGCTGGAGGTCGGCATTCACGAAGTTGCCTCCATTGTCCGACAGAACCTCCATTGGACAACCTCGTCGGTTGGCCATCCGGTTAAAGGCGTTCAGGAAAGAATTTGCATCCAATGCGTACGCCATCTCCAAATGGACCGCACGAGTCAGCAAACACGTGAAGAGGCACAGATAGCGTTTGTGGCGAGTCTTTCCTCTCCCCTGCACTGTTTCGAACGGCCCTCCGTAGTCAACGGCTACCCTGCTGAAGGCTCTCAGTGGCTCACACAATCGCTTTGCTGGCAACGGGGCCACGATTTGCTCTCCCGCACGGGCTTTTAGTCGTCGACACACCATGCAGTCTTTCTCCCAGTCACGGATCTCCTCCCGTGCTGCTTCAACAAGATAGTGATCAGAGAGAGCTGCCAACGTTTCATTCGTCCCGCCATGATGACGTTGCTCATGGCAATCTTTGACAATAAGCCGGGTGGTCGGATGTTTCCGGGGGAGAAGAATCGGGAAGCGCACATCAAACGGCAACCAGTCAGCCAGCTTGGTGCGACCATCGCAGCGCAATAGTCCGTCGTCGTCCAGTCGAGGCGATAACCTCGCCAAACGTGACTTCAGCGGAAGTGGTTGACCATTCTTCACTTGCTTCAGATCCTCCGCGAATGCCTCGTGCTGTGCCTCTTTGATGATGGAAAGGCTGGCAGCGTCCATCTCCTCGCCGGTTAGCTCTCCGCTCAACTCCTCACCTCCACGGCAGTTGGTGATGAAGCGAATTGCCCAAGCCCGTACTCTGACTACGCGCGTCCAGTCTGAGAAGCGCCGAGAGCACAAGCTGGGTACTTTCTCGGACATAAATGACATCACCTCGGGCTGTGCAGCCTTGCGAGCTTCCGCTCGAGCAGCTGGGTCTTGGCCACCCACGATCTTGGCTGGCCATTCAGATTCTTCTTTCTGCAGGAAGGCCGGTCCTTGCCACCACAGCTCAGTTGCAACCAGTTGCTCTACCCCAGCTCCCCGTGACGCCAAGTCAGCTGGGTTGTCGCTGGAGGGAACGTACCGCCATTGACTGGGCGACGTAACAGTCTGGATGTGGCTGATGCGATTCGCCACAAACGGTTTGAAACGTCGGCTGTAGCTGCGAATCCAGAGCAGCACAGTTGCACTGTCGCTCCAGAAAATCACCTCTGACATGGCAATGGTCATGATCTGACTGAACTTCCGGGCCAGCTGAAGGCCAAGCACAGCCGCCAGCAATTCCAGCCGGGGGATACTTTGTGTTCTTGTCGGCGCCACTCTGCTCTTGGCTCCAGCGAGACGAACGTTTCCCTCAGAGCCACGCTGCACGGTGGAGCTGTAGACCACGGCACCATACGCCACACTCGACGCATCACAGAAAACATGCAGTGTCACACCACTGGCCACGTCCGGGATGAGACATCTTGGTACTCGAACTAAACTGAGCTTCGCCAGGTCATTGAACCACTGGCGAGCGCTGGTGTCGATGCCATCTGGAACCGGTTCATCCCAGTCAATACCAGCTACCCAACTCTCTTGCATGAGGATCTTGGCTTGGGTCACGAACGGTGCCAGAAACCCCAACGGGTCGAATACGGACGCGACTTTTGCTAGGAGGAATCGCTTGGTGATGCGTTGGTTGGTGAGGTCTGGCGGTTGAACGCTGAAGAAGAAGCAGTCTGCCTGACCGTCCCATGACACTCCTAGCGTCTTCACGGATGGTAGCTCTCCTTGGGATAAGTCCAGCTGGGTAGCGCGAGCCTCGGCTGGAATTACCTTGAGGAGCTCGGGCGAGTTGGACACCCACTTGCGCGGCGTCATCTTGGCCTCACCCCACAGATCCATTAGCTCCCGATGAAGAATCTGACCTTGTTCGACATCTTCGGTGCTGTCCATCGTGTCATCCATGTAGGTGGACGCGAGGATAGCTTCTGCTGCCAGGGGATGCGACGCCAAATGTTCCCGGGCTGTCTGCTGAGCAACGTACTGGGCGATGAATGGTGCAGCATTGACGCCAAAGACCAGGCGGTTGAACTCAAAGTGCCGTAAAGGCTTGGTTGGATCCAGGTCCCGCCACACGAATCTGAGGTACTTCCTGTCTGCTGGCGCAACCGACACCTGCAAATACATTTCGGTCACGTCACAGCCCACTGCTATAGGCTTTTGCCGAAACCTGGTCAACACATCGAACAACTCACGTTGGAGCTTCGGACCAGGGTAGATGGCGTCGTTGAGGCTGAGGCCATGACAGGATGCTGCAGCGTCAAAGACGATCCGCACCTTGGTTGTCGTCTTCTGCGGTCGGACGATGGGAAAGTGGGATAAGTACCAGCATACCTCTTGACCTAGCTCTTCCTTCGCGAGCTCCCGGATATAGCCGTTCCTCTGGTAGGCCTGGAAGACTTGGCCATAAGCCTGGGCAACGAATGGGTCTTTCAGGAGCTTGCGCTCGGTGTGGCCTAGACGTTTCGTAGCCGCACCCAAGTTGTTGCATAATTCTCTCTTGCGATTGTTCCACGGCAGAGACACCTGGTACCGACCGTCCACCTTCTTCAGCGAGTGTTTGACGATGTCTAGGGCTGTCTCTTCCTCCAGCGAGCGCGGGCCGGGCTCACTGAAGCTCTCCTCCGTGCCGCAGCTGTCAATTTGCCAGAACTGCTGTAGCGCGGTCTCTAAGCCGGTTGGTGTTGCTCTCTCCTCACTCTGAAACGCTTGGCTGTGGAACGTCCTTTGACTCGAGTGGGTTCCCGTCACTCTGCCAACACAGGTCCAACCCAGTGGAGTATGACGCGCCACTGGTTGACCAGGCGGGCCGACCACTTCCTGCTGTGACACAAGCAGCTCAGCATAGTCGCTCCCAATCAGCAGATCGACCCTGGCGGGCTCCGCCAGTCTTGCGAACGGAATCTCTCTCAGATGAGGATACTTGACTGCTTCCTTGACCCACTCTACCGGACGAAGATTCCCGGTGACCGAATCAGCCGTCAGCGCCGTCATAGATTGCCGAACACTGCCATCCATGCTGCCAATGGTGAAGCTTACTGGTCTGGTTGTGAATGAGGTCTGCTTGCCATTCAAGGTGTGGACCGTGAATGTCCTCAGCTCCCCGCTGACGCCGAGCTGGTTGGCAATGCTGCCGTTGAGGTAGCTCGTTGTGCTACCGTCGTCCAGCAACGCATTCACTTGCACTGACTTGTGGCCGTTCTCCAAGACGACTGAGACCGTTCGCAGAGCTATCTTGC